TTTTTCATCCTTTAATTATATTATAAGTTGTTTAATTGCATAGTGTAGTAAAATCTACTACTTAAAGTGATAATTTTAATTGCAAAGGATTTTTTAATTCTACCACATAAATGTTCTTAAAGCCTATTGAACCAATTTAAGTAGTAAAAGCTACTACTGAAAGTAGCCCAGTTAAAAATCCTACGCTTTATGAAGTTCCCTACTGAAAATCCCTGTATAAAATCTTGTACAACTTCCTGTACAGGATCAGCAACTGAACTTGTACAAGTTCTGACCAGTTCCTGTACAGGAAAATGCATACGAATTTGGAACAAGTTCATGTGTGAGATCTTGTACAAGATCTGGTGCAAGATCTTGTACAAGAAAGATGCTTGCACAAGAAAATGTTCATGTACAATTTCATGTATAAGTACTTGTACATGAACACGTCCATGTTCTTGCACATGTTAATTCATGTTTTTCTTTACTAAAAATTAAAAACTTCAAAGGCTGCGCAATAGTTTACTTTAACCTTTACAGCTGCGCAATAGTTTTTAGCATGCATGAGTTACGAATCTTAGTGGTTAAAAATTATCAAAATCTCAAATTTTATTAAAAAAAAAAATTTTACAACTATTTCATGTGCAAGAACATGAACGTGTTCATGTACAAGTACTTATACATAAAATTGTACAAGATCATGTACATTTTCTTGTACAAGTATCTTTCTTGTACAAGATCTTGCACAAGATCTCACACATGAACTTGTTCCAAATTCGTATGCATTTTCCTGTACAGGAACTGGTCAGAACTTGTACAAGTTCAGTTGCTGATCCTGTACAGGAAGTTGTACAAGATCTTATACAGGGATTTTCAGTAGGGTTGCGTAAAAAGCCCATTTAAAGCGTTAGGATAGCTGCTAAGAAGTAGTTAAATAGCAGTGGGAAAGCTATCAGGAAGCATGTTATGTCCGATTTTTCGCTTTCTAAACGCTTCCATTGTTTTGTCATTAGAGTAATTTGAGGTTTTGTTTTTCGTGCGCTCATTGGTCAAAAGTTTGTCACTTCAAATGACGCACTCTTTTCTAACCAATAAACCTGCTTTCGCTTAATTTACACTTCCCAAAGGCTTTCCGGACACTCTAAAGAAGTTTTGGATTTTCGATTGGGAGTAAATGTATAAATGTATAAATGATTTGTAAATTTTACATCAAAAACGTTTTTTAAGCTTATTGAATTAATTAAAATAGTAAAAAATTCTTACTTAAAGTAGTAGTTTTAATCACAAAGGATTTGTTGATTCTACAACATGAAATTTTATTCAAGCCTATAAAATCATAGAAATTAATAAAAAATTTACTACTCAAAAAGCAGTTATATTAATTAAAGAAAATAATTCCTTTTACTACATTTCATATACCTGGTGAATAGTAGTTGAATTTACTACTCTTCAAATTTTGAGTTGACTACAATTCCACTTGTTTTTACTACCTTAAGAAAGTTAATTTTACTACCGACCTGTAGTTGTACTTTAACTACATATTTACGTAAAAACAACTATTACTTATTAACTTCTTAAAAATAGTTACCTCAACTACATGAACATGATTAGATTAACTAAAAAAGTAGTTATTTTAACTACTTTCTCGTCAACTACCCAATGGTAGTTGAATTTCTCGGCAACATTTTTTTCAGTGTATATAATACGGTACTACATTCGGGAACTTGGATTTCTCCCTTTTTTCTAAACCATGAGTATGAGGCAGACGCGAAGCGTGATTTGTCGATTTGAGAATTTTAAAATGGTATTTCAATAGTCAAAAATTTTATTATAAAATAATCATAAATTATCTAAAAATTCTAAATTAATAAATATTAAAAATAAAATTACACAAAGAAATGAAATTAAAACTAGATAAATTGAATTCCTGAAAATAATAGAAAGAGAGAGAAGATATCTATAGATAACACAATGAAAATATAAACAGAAAAAATAATTAATAGAAAGAGAAGGTAGATATAAATACGAATTAAGAGAATTATTAATTTAATTTAAATTTAAAGATTTTTTTTATAAATAAAGAATTTTATAGATTATTATTTAAAGAATAAATTTATTTTATATTTTTTCTTTAAAATATGTAGAAAATAAAATAATAAAAATTATTTTAAAAATTGCTGAAATTAATAATAATTAAATAAAATTATATGTTACATTAAAGTAAAAATTATTTAAAAATTAATGGTAAAAGTTAAATAATTTTAAAATTATTATTTTTTGAGAAATTAAAGATTTTAGAAAATGAAAATCAGTTAGAGAAAAATGATTGACAGGTAGACAATGGCATTGTTCTTGGCGAGCGTTAGAAACGGAATTAGAGAGAGAAAAATATCTCTGTCCTTAGAAAATAATTTAAATATAATTGGCTATCCGAAAATAGACGCCGCGAAAAATCCAAATAGAGGGAGAAATTGGCGGTAAGAAATACATGGGAGAAGCGCCCTGCGTAAAGTGGTGAGGGAAACTCGCGGATTTTCGCTCAATAAATTTGAAATTTCTTACTCACACACTCGCACATTTTTAATTTTACTTACTCCAGAAAATTAAGGGGCAACTATATAAGCCAAGTAAATGCGTGTTTCTGTCTCTTTTATCTGAACAGTTTTAAACTGGTAAGAGCTTTCTTTTATATTTTAATATAAGGAAATTTCAGAACAACAAAATCTACTAAGTCAAGTCTTTCAAACTTGAGAGGTGCAGATTGTTCCATTTCTGATTGGGTAAAACGAATAAAGATAATTCACGGGTATAGACAAAAAAATTGAGAATCGATTTAAGGGGTTACATGGGTCAAAAAGGCCAAAAAATGTAAGACTTTTTATAATTTTTTTCCATATAAAAAAAATTATTTTATTTTATCTTTTAGTTACTTTAAAGTATAGTGTAAAATAATGTTATAAAATTTTCGTTAATAAATATTAAAAATTATGCCAATGGCAACACATTTTCTGAGACCTCTTCCAAAATAAATGATTTTGCGGTAGCCACGATATCTATAATGACTGCTTTATTAAAAATAAAAAACCTAAATATTTTTTAGTAGTAGTTTTTTGTCACAATTTACGATTTTTAGGACTATTTAGACAATGTAAAATCGGTTGCAATCAACAGAAAAAAATTCTTCGTTCAATCACTAGTCAATACTATCTAGAAGAAGAGTACCAAATTTCAAAAAAAATCCGTGAACTAGTTTTTGAGAAATCGTGGCTAACGACTTCAAAAAAATAGTTTTGAGAAAACAACATTTAAAGTTAAATGATATAAAGGTCGAATTGTCTTTTTTTTATTTTATTGGATTTGTTTGAAAATCTTTAGTCTTGGGTTTTTGGAGTCGCTGATTATGAATATCTGGTGACTGTTTTTCAGAATTATAAATATCTGATCCAATATGGCGGACTAAGTAATTAAAAATCAATTGCACTAGGTGACGGTCGAATAAAAGTCGTATTCGAAAATACTCTCTCATTCCTAGAGTTTTACAAAATTATCTCAAAACTTTGGGAAAATATTCTTGACATATTACACACATCTCTCCTTATCAAATGTAAAAGTCATGAATGTGGTATCTTAAAATTAGGATTGCACCTTTTTAAGCACATCGGAAATAATAATTAAATGCAATTTTGCCGAAAATTCTAGCTGCTCCCCTTTTTAAATATCCGAGAAATTTAATCTTGAAAATTGAAAAAGCCTTTATTAGGATGCTTTTTGATATTTTATAAAGGTATAAATTACCCACTATGAATGGATTGTTCTCTTCCAAAATCAGAAATTCGGAATCGACAATGTCGATTCCCATAAAGGATTTCACATAAGATACCATATAGGATCTAATAGGAAATCCTACATATGCCCTCACAGCACCAGATATCCTAGGATATTCCAAAAACATCCCTTGGATATCCTATGAATACCCCAGGGATATCCTAAGGATACTTTAAGGATATTCAAAGTAGCGGCGGTTAGGATATCCCAGTGTTGTCAGATGCCTATGGCGCTTTTCCCCTAGATCGATAGATATTTTCCACTAAAAGTAAATTTTTTCCACTAAAAATTTCTTTTCCTAATTTTCACTAGAAAAATAAAAATAAATAAATAGAAAACGTAAAAATTTTTAACTCAACGCAAAATTTAAAATTTTTGACACTAATTATGCAAAAGTTATTTAAACTTAGAGAATCGTTTAATAAAATTTAATATGGTTCAATGTCAAATTCACTTGAATAGTTTAAACTTAGTGACCACACTTTTAATACTTCAGATACAATTTACGTAGAAAAAATGACATATAGGTAAAAACACTAAAAAAAACCACGAAAGAATAAAAAAGATACTAAATTTCCTACTAAAATATTTCTCTCACTAAAAATGTTACTGAAGGACCAAAATCTTACTAAATTTAGTTGGAAAACCACTAACTTGGCAACACTGGGATATCCCAGGGATATCTCAGGGATATCTAAGGATGTCCCTAGGACATATCCTTAGAACGTCCCAAGGATATCCCTAGAATATCCTCAGAATATCCCCCAGGATATCCCAAAAATATCCTACGTAACGGCGGTTAGGATGTTCTGAGGATATCCTATGGACGTTTTCAGGATATCCTACATTAGTTTAGGATATCTTGAGGATATCCTTTTGTTGTGAGGGTGAACACATAAGGGATTCCATGTGGATTCTTACACCAAATCTTGCCCGAAATTTCGGCCTGATTTTATAAGAGAACCTTCATGGATTTCCATATCGGATCCTACAAGAAGTTTCATGTGGAATCCCATGTGAGTTTTAACAGTAGGGAAGCATCGTAATTTTTTCTCAATCAAAGGACTTGAAATTTGAACACAATTTTTAAAATTATATTACCTATGAAATTACATTTCGATTTCATAATTTTTTTTTGTTTCTTCATTCGCTTATCATAATTTACATAAAGTAGTGATTAATTAAAATATTTATACCTGATTCCTGGTGTAAGCTTTGGCGGATGTTCATCCAAGAATTTCATTATTTGAGTCTTAGTAGGTTTTATGATGTTTAACCTCACATTTAAGGACTGATCAAATGTCATGCATCCTTGCATTGCTTGTTTCGTTCTGCAAATAGACAAAATTTAAAATTATATTACAAATATATTATTGATCGAGGTAATTGTATACCTACCAGAAGATTTAATTTTATGTTAAAAATTAATTGTTTTTATGTTAAAAATCAATTTCATTTGCTTAAAAACTTATTACTCGGGGGGCTTTAGTGATTGTTACAGAATGAGGAATTTTTATAAAAAGTGTGACAATATTTAAGAACTTTTGATTAGAAGCATTTAATCTGCAATTGTTTTTTAAAAATTCAAAATGGCTGATCTAATATGGCGAAAGTTTTGAGCTAATTTTTAAAATTCATCAAAACTTACTTAAAATTCGTTCCTCGGAGGTTTTTGGAAGTCGCTAATTTCGAATATGAAGTCTGTTTTACCAAATTCAAAATGGTGGAAAAGATTAAAAATTAATTCAATTCGCTTGAAACTTTTTACTCGGGGGTTTTTTGGGCTCGTTGAATACAACTTCGACGTCAGTTTTTCAAAAGTCAAAATGGCAAAGCCAATATGGTTGCCAATTTTTGAAATAAAAAATCATTGCATTTTACAAAATTCTTAAGCGAATTTAATTAATTTGTGAGTTTTTCGCCATATTGGATCTGCCATTTTGCATTTTGAAAAACGGACTTCGAATTCGTATTCAGCGAGACCGAAAACATCCGAATAACAAGTTTCAAGCGAATTCAATCAATTTTTAAATTTTTTCCGGCATTTTGAATTTTTTAAAACTGTCAATATATGTAACGCTCCACGAAAGAAGGGACCTATCTCCGAAATAATATTAGGCTTAGTTTTCATGTACGGTGCACGGAAAACTGAGCCTAATGTTATTTCGGGGATAGGTCCCTTCTCTCGTGGAGCGTCACATATTTTCATTTTGTATAGTACTTTAGCATTACTGGTGCTTAATTTACAGATAATTTGATAACATCTTTTGATATTTTTATAACATTTTAATTTTCAATTTTTTAGCCATATAATGTTTCATATATTGTCCGCCATATTGAATTTTTTAAAAGGACATGTTTTAAATGAAAAAGTACTTCAAGATCAAGACGAAAATTTTATGACCTTAAATGTTACAATTTTACAAACAAATAAAATTATGGTAATTCTGAACTTACCAATTGAAAGTTAAGGTAATTCCGTATCCAACGAGCCCTATATGAAGTATTTTGGATAAGTAGATTTTTAATAAACAATTGCAATGTTAACTAATTGTTTATTAACAATCTACTTATCCAAAATATTTCACATAGGGCTCGTTTGATGCGGAATTACGTTAACTTTTCATTGATAATTTCAGAATTACGGTAACTTTATTTGTTTGTAAAATATTCCATTTGTTATAAACATTAATTAATTAATATCTGGAAAACAAAACGAAACGTCATTCTATTTTTTTTTGGTATTGAAAGTATATATCTTAAACTTCATTTTGAGGGTAAAAAAAAGAAAAAAAAAAAAGTTTTTGAAAGAAAAAATAAAAAATATTTTTGATTTTCAAAAAAAGGGGTAAATTTTGAATTTAAAAAAAAAAATTTCACCATTCGAAAGAGCACAAAAAAATCTTTCGAAATAAACGCTTTTTATTTTTAGGGTTCCGTACTCGGTTCGGAACCCTATTAATATCGGTTTTTTTGAAATCGTGTACCCCCCCCCTAGCGGCCACATAAATTTATCTGGAGGGCTGAAAATTAGTACACATATGTATTTTCGCGTGTAGATTACAGGAAAATTATAGCGAACTTGATTGGAATTGATTAACATAGCGTTGTCAAGGAAAAACCATGAATTTTTACGAAAAATGCCTAAAAATGACTATGTACCCCCCCCCCTAGCGGCCACATCTTTTGACATAAAGAGCTCAAATTTGACACACTTACGTATTTTTACGTGAAAATTACAGGAAAATTATAGCGAACTTGATTCGGATCAATTTACATAGCGTTGTCAAGGAAAAATCAAAAATTTCGAAAAAAATAATTTATTCTCCCTAGCGCACACAATATTCAACCCAGACAGATCATATTTAGTATACAAATGTATTTTTACGGGAAAAATACAGGGGAAAAAAAGCGGTCACGATTAGAGTTGATGATTAACTTTTTATCAAGTTTTTCAAGAAAAAATGACAATTTTAGGAAAAAAATGTATTTTTCCACCAAAAACGAACAAAATTTTATTTAAAGGAAATTAAATTTATATATTTTAACGTATTTTTACGTGTAGATTACAAAAAAAATATAGCGAGCATGATTGGAGTTGATTATCATAGCGTTGTCAAGGAAAAACCATGAATTTTTACGAAAAATACCTAAAAATGAGTATGTACCCCCCCCCTAGCGGCCATATCTTTTGACATAAAGAGCTCAAATTTGACACACTTACGTATTTTTACGTGAAAATTACAGGAAAATTATAGCGAACTTGATTCGGATTAATTTACATAGCGTTGTCAAGGAAAAATCAAAAATTTCGAAAAAAATGATTTATTCTCCCTAGCGCACACAATATTCAATCCAGACTGTTCATACTTGCTGTAAAACTCAATTTTTGCGTGAAAAATACAGGGAAAAAATGTAAGCGCGATTGGAGTTGATGATCAATTTTTATCAAATTTTTGAAGAAAAATGATAAATTTCAGAAAAAAATGTATTTTTCCGCAAAAAACGAAAAAAGTTTTTCTACAGTGATTCAAATTTATATATTTTGACGTATTTTTACGTGTAGATTACAAAAAAAATATAGCGAGGATGATTGGAGTTGATTTTTCTGGAATTAATAAACAAATTTCATTTTTTAGATAACTTTCGATTTTTCCTTGACAAGCAGCTACTAGCCTTATATCAATATCTTAAGTTTTATCTCTTTTTGACTTAGAAAGATAAAATTTAATATTCAATATATTTTTAAAATGTAAATACAATAAAAATATTGCGAGTTGAAATAAAATTATGTTTCTTATATTTTTTTAGTAAAATATTTTTTAAAAAATAAAATCGGACAAGTGCGAGTTACACTCGCACTGAAATCGAGGGTTCCGTACTCGAAGCGAACTTATTTGGTATAAAAACAAATGTTTAAAAAATATGTGTTGTATGACAACTAATATAAGTGATACGAAGAGGAACAATTTTCTTGAATTTTACAAAATTGTTCCTTTTTGTATCACTTATAATAGTTGTCATACAACACATATTTTTTAAACATTTGTTTTTATACCAAATAAGTTCGCTTCGAGTACGGAACCCTCGATTTCAGTGCGAGTGTAACTCGCACTTGTCCGATTTTTTAAACTTATTTTAAAATTAATTTTTCACAAAATGAAAATTACTTCTAAACTAATTTTTTTCTTGAAAAATACAAAAAGAAATTTTTTATTTTATCAAACCGTCTTGTAAAATATACAAAACTTAATTTTATTCGTATTTTTCAAAGAAACTGAAATTTTAAATTTATTTAAATTAAATTAAAAATTTAAAAAAAACACATATGGGACGTTCTTTGTCAACCGGACCACCCCATCTCTCCATAATTGGTTTAATTTAAAAAAATTTTATCATATTGGAAAAATTAGCTTGGAATGTCTACTTTTTAATCCCGTTGGGCGCTTTTTGAAATTCAAAATGGCGACTTAAATATGGCGCCTAAACGACATAAAAAACACAAAAAATCCACTAATATGATCTATATTATTGTTTAAAGCTTCACATATGACGATAAAAATAACCACAACATAGTTTACTTACAAACTGATAACGTATCTCCATTCAAAATTCAGAAATTCAAAATGGCGGATTAAATATGGCGGATAAAATTAAAAATTGAGCTAGACTCGTGAAAATTACTACTTGGGGGTTTTCGAGGTCGCTGATTACGAATCCGGTGTTAGTTTTCAAAAATTCAAAATGGCGGATTCAATATGACGGACAAAAAATTGAAAAATCCTGTAGATTTGATTGAAACTTGTTACACGGGGGTTTTTGGGGTCGCTGATTACGAATCCGGTATTAATTTCCAAAAATTCAAAATGGCGGATCCAATATGATGGACAAAAATTAAAAAATCCTTTAGATTCGCCTGAAACTTGTTACTCGGGGTTTTTTGGGGTCGCTGATTACAAATCCGTTGTTAGATTTAAAAAATTTAAAATGGCAGACTTAAAATAGTAGCCCAAAATTTAAATAATTAAGTTAAACTCGTGAAATTGTTTACTCGGGTGTTTTCGGGGTCACTGATTACGAATCTGCGGTTACTTTTTAAAAATTCTAAATGGCTGACCACAAATCCAAAAAATTGAGCTAAACTCGTTAAAATGTCTACCTAAGGGTTTTTCAGGACAATCTTTACGAATTCATCGTTACTTTTTAAAAAATCAAATTGTGAATATAAAATGGTGGACCAAAATATAAAAAATTGATCTAACTTTTTTATATTGAACGTAAAAAGGTGCCATTTGAACTTATCAAATACAACGCCAGATAACTTTTTATGGAAATTATGTGAGGATTATTTAATTAATAATCACAAGACTAGCTTAATTTTTTAATTCTATCCGCCATTTTGAATTTTAAATAGAGATTTGTCATCAACCATTTAAAATTTTTTTAAAACTGACATCGGATTTGTAATCAGCGACCAAAAAAACCCCTATGTAGACATTTTTACGAAATTAGCTCCATTTGTTCAATTTTTGTCCGCCATATTAGATCCGCCATTTTGAATTTTTGAAAACTAACACCGGATTCGTAATCAGCGACCTCGAAAATCCCCAAGTAGTAATTTTCACGAGTCTAGCTCAATTTTTAATTTTATCCGCCATATTTAATCCGCCATTTTGAATTTTTTAATTTTGAATGGAGATACGTTATCAGTTTGTAAGTAAACTATGTTGTGGTTATTTTTATCGTCATATGTGAAGCTTTAAACAATAATATAGATCATATTAGTGGATTTTTTGTGTTTTTTATGTCGTTTAGGCGCCATATTTAAGTCGCCATTTTGAATTTCAAAAAGCGCCCAACGGGATTAAAAAGTAGACATTCCAAGCTAATTTTTCCAATATGATAAAATTTTTTTAAATTAAACCAATTATGGAGAGATGGGGTGGTCCGGTTGACAAAGAACGTCCCATATATATATAGAAATAAAAAAAAATTAACCCTACTTTCAAATGCCGTATGGCCTTTTTGAAAAAACCAATATGGCGGTTATAAGTGCTATAGGTCACTCAAAAAAAGTAGTTTATCGTGTTTTAAAATTAAAAAAGTCATCCTAGAACATCGGGAAAAGCATATTTTCGTGTAATTTTTATCGATAAACACGATTGTAATATTTATTTTATCGGAAAAAATTATATGTCGTCCCTAACCTAAAAAAACACGGATTAATCAGTTTATCGTATTGCATGCTTAGCAAAGTCATTACGAAACATTATGAATAGCATAATATCATAAAAGTTTTATTGATTAACATCATTTTGAGATTGGTATCAAATTGAGTAAATAACAATCTTCAAGTTACTCCATTTGAGACCGCCTTAATTTCAAATTTTTAGGTTGGTATTGAAATGGTATTTTAATAGTCAAAAGTTTAATTATAAAATTGTTATAAATTATTTGGAAAATTATAAATTAATAAATATTAAAAATAAAATTATATTGAGAAATAAAATTAAAAGTATATACCTAAATTGAATTTCTGGAAATAATAGAAAAAGAAGTTAGATATAAATTCGAATAAAAAAAATTATGAAATTAATTTAATTTAATGAATTTTTTTAAACAGAATAAAAGATTTGCATAAACATTATTTAATTAATAAATTATATTTAACATTCTTAAACATCTGTAAAATCCCAGTCGAAAATCCTACGCTATGTTAAGCTGAACAAAAAGTTGTTTTGAAGTATTGAGATAACCATTAGAGAATTGTGAGACAGTAGATAACTAGCTATAGAAAACTTTCAGGAAGCCTGTTATGGCCGATTTTTCGCTTCCACGGAAAGCTTGAAAATAACAAATTTTGTACGTTTTAAACAAAGCATTCAAGTAGCTTTGAGAGAGTTATCAAAGAGTTGCAGGATTTTGCATATATAAAAAGAAAGCGTTCAGGTGGCGAAAATTAAATGAAGCGTCATGGATGTTTCAGGAAACAGCGGAAAAATGACAATGATCAAAAATTAAATTTAACCTTTCTTTCCATCTTTATTTATCTCGTAAAAATATTATGTATTAGATTATTATATTTAAATATTGAAGAATTAAAGAAAAATTATTTACGTCAGACTCGGTATTTCCACAGTCTTTTTAAATTTATTCTAAAAGAATAAAGAATATATTATTTATAAAAAATATTCATAAATATCAAGTTTAAAAATAATAATCTTTTTTTTTAAATATTAAATATTTTGTCTTTTTTTAAGAAATTGTATTCATTATTCAATATAAAAGGTTTTCACCGTGTTCATATTCCTAACCCCAAATTTTGCTCAAGTTATATATAATTTTTTTCGTATATAATTTAAGTGTTTAAAAATAAACGTTTTCTTTGAAAAATAATTTTTATATAATATATAAAGAATAATTATTAATTGTATAAAACGGATTTACAAATTACTATAGAATTTTTATGATTTTTCGATTTAGTTTAATTTAATGAAATTATTCTAGTTTTCAGGAAGTGTAAAAAAGGTAATTAAATTACATATTAATTTGCAACTTGTGAAAAGCAAATAGAATTGCTTTCTTACACATTAAACCAGGCATTAGGAAAGCATTCACCAAGCAAACTGGTAGACCTTTTGCTAGAAGCTGTCCACAGATATTCAACAAGCTGTAGAAAAAGCTTCCCGTTAAGAAGTCAGAAAGCAAATATCACAGAATTTTAGGTCTAATGTATAAATAGTTGCCATGAAGCTTTTGAAACCTTCATAACAGTTACCTGAAGGCCATGTGAACCCTTCAGGGAAACTTACGATTTTCGACTGGGATAAAATATAATAAAGATTATTTTATTGATGAAATTAATAATAATATAATAAAAAATTTAAATCATTTAATTAATTTTTTCTAATATTTGAATAATATTAAATAGATTCTTAACATCAATGCGAATATTTAATATTTTTAAAGTGAAAATGACAAATAAGCTTTCCAGAAACTCGGGTGAATATGAGACGCGAAAAACCGCTTCTTGGTTATTTTTTTGAAGATATGGCCTACACGTATCATTTTTCTGATAAAGAAATACCAAATTCGTCTTCACTGATAAAAGTTAAGCGAAAATATGATTTTTCCGATATTTTATTATGACTTTGTTAGGCGTGAAACACGATAAACTGCCGTTTTTCATGTTTTTTTTAGGTTACGAACAACGCATAATTTTTTCCGGCAAAATAAATATCAAATTTATGTTCATCGATAAAAGTTACACGAAAATATGCTTTTTCCGATGTTTTATGATGACTTTTTTAAGCGTGAAACACAATAAACGGCTTTTTTGTGTTTTCTTTTGAGGTTAGGGACGTCACATAATTTTTTCCGTTAACATAAATATTAGATTCGTGTTCATTGATAAAAGTTACACGAAAATATGCTTTTCCCGATGTTTTAGGATGACTTTTTTAAGCGTAAAACACAATAAACTGCATTTTTCGTGTTTTTTTTTGAGGTTAGGGACTACAGATAATTTTTTCCGGTAAAATAAATATTACAATCGTGTTTATCGATAAAAATTACACGAAAATATGCTTTTCCCGATGTTCTAGGATGACTTTTTTAATTTTAAAACACGATAAACTACTTTTTTTGAGTGACCTATAGCACTTATAACCGCCATATTGGTCCGCCATATTGGTTTTTTCAAAAAGGCCATACGGCATTTGAAAGTAGGGTTGATAAGCTTTTATTTCTATATACATATGTCTTAAAATACTTGAACCTATTTTGGGCAGGGGGAGGTCTCCCGTTGACAGAGAATGTCCCATTTAATAAATTTTCTGATGAAAAAAAATTTCCAATCCGAGGCTTGTAATATTTTGGTTCAAATTTGGTTTTTTATTAAATATTATTAAATATTTGTATAATATATATATATAATATAAATATTTATTAAATAATATTCAAGTTTCAACATAAAATAGGGGAAATGAGTGAATAAAAGGGGAAAAACGGTAAATATTCATAAAAAAGGGAATTTTTTAAAATAGAGGAAAAATAGGGGAAACACTGTGAAGCCTGCTGACATAATCAAGTTACTTACAGATATTTTTCATTATTTAAAAACCCAGTTACCTTGAAACGTGTATTTATCGAATAAAAAAAGAGCGATTTAAGAATATTTAAATCAGAAGTTAAAAAAATGCTTAAAAAGTGAACGTTCACAAATGATGTCACACACTGAGGGGGAGGGGGGATATTGGCCAAACGTGACAATGTAATTTTTCTATAAGAAAATATAGTAAAATAGCGTGACAGGGGGGTAGGGGTCAAGATTCTTGAAAAAGTGCGTGACATCATTTGTGAACATTCCCTAAATGACCTTGTTTTTGAACCATTACAGCTCGTAATGCTTAAGATTTTCAAGTTTTCTTACTTAATTAAAGATAAATTTCCAAATAAAATTTTAAAGATTACTTAATTAAGTTATAATAACTATAATGTACTATATATGTAAAATTCTTTTTTATGTGCAAAACTAATATAATAATTAAAGTTTATAAAAATACATACCTATGTTAATAAAAAAAAAATGAACAAACTGGGAAAAATTGGGAACTTTTTCACACGGGTTACAAGATCCCTTAAAAAAATTAAAATTTTTCATTTTTTCGGAATTTATTTTAACACCTTAAAATAAGATTCTAACAGTGAAAAATAAATAAATAAAGTTTAAATTTCACTAAAAATTTGTAGAACACATTCAAAATTATATTCATTTTTTATTTATTAAAGATAAGCAATCTTTTTTGAAAAATTGAAATTTTTGATTATTTTCAGTAAATTTGCAAATTCATATTATTTGTTGTTTACTCCTTTTTGATAAAATATTTCACTTACAATAGAAACGAATCAAATAATCTACCTTTATTATTAAATTAATTAAAATTTGAATTACTTAAAAAATAAAAAATCCAATAATGATTAAAAATATATTCAACAAGAAATTTTTATAATTAATAGTGATTTTTTTTCTTTAAAGAATTCAACATTTATTTTTAAAAAATCTGGGAGGTCGTCTGAAACTGCAAATGGTCGAAAAACTATCGTCAGAAAGAATTCGGCGCGAATTCATCACAATTTACTTGATAATTTCTGATTGGTTAATTTTAAAAATTCGTGTTGAAATTTTTCTATCGATTGTTTGTCGGTTAGTTGCAATTTTGGACAAATGAAAATTCTGCCATTTAAAAATTGGAATCACTTAAAATTCTGTTAATTAAATATTTGGTTAAATTAGAATTTTTTGAATAAAAATTTTGGTAAAGAGAAAATCTGTAAAATAAAAATGTTGTCAAACAAAAATTCAGTACATAAAAATTTATTTAAAAAGAAATTATGACAAATGTTAATTCAAACAATGACAATTAGGATAAAAAACAATTATATCTAATAAAATTCTTTATAATGAATATTTTAATTAATGATTTTTATGGGATACAAATATTTTTTTACACTTTGTTATTAATTATTACAATATTTAAACTTTTATTAGCATTGAATTTTTCATTAAAATAATTAATTATATTTTCAATTCTGACGTTGTGAATATTTTAAATAAAATTAATAATTTTATAAATAAAAGTATTTAACTTACAAATTGGAAACTTCATTTCCTTTTCCACAAAATTTTGCCAATTCGTCAATTCCTTCTTCTTGAATAACTGTAGAATCAACATCGAAGGTAACTGCATTTGCAATTTTCCACAATTCTTTTATTTCATTCAAACTCGACATTCTGAATGAAAATTTTTATATGTACTATAAGAAACGTGAATTTAAGAATCCACTGTAGCAATAGGCATATTATATATACATAGAAATAAATTTGATAAATTATAAATGTTTATCTTACTTAGTCTTATTTTGTAGATTATGTTTTGATTCCCAGATAACCCTATTATCGTAAAAGAGGCGCTTAGTTGGTTGCCACATACATATATTAACATTTATAAAATTTTTAATTTAAAGATAAAATTTTAAAAAAATACGAATGTATTTGATTTTATCATATTATGGAGGTTATGGTATACATAATTCTATAATAACAGTTGGCAGCAATGACTTTATTTTCTCTTTCATACCATTGACATCCGCCTTTTATTAGTTACGTACCTTATGTACAGCCAAAGCTTGCTTGAGTATATCGTATAAACGTAACTGCTAGTCAGTAACTGAACTGATTGTTTTCAATGAAACACGTGGAGCCTGTTCTGAATATGATGGGGGTACTCAACTTCTTCATTTTTTTTTATTTTCTATAGTAACCTGACACAGTGCATATTTCTCTGGTTTATGAGAATTATTTCCACGTAGAGAAAAATAATTCGAAAGATTATTTGATTCTCACGATATACATTATAAAAAGTACAAATATTGAAAAATAAAGTTTACTATTCCATTATTATTCTCTACATAAAGATTAAATTACCAGCTGACAAATATAACTGTAAATGTTAATTTTCAATGTTACCCACTTCTATTTTTACTTTCTCTATATCAGAAGAGAAAAATAATCTCAGGAATAAATTCTCTAGATAATTTGTGTCAAAAAAACACATTCCGTTGACAAATTGATTTAGAGATAACAATTCTAAACCATTTTCGCTCACTTTTTTTAATTAACGATAGATAAATTTGTCATAATAATTTCTCTTCAAATTTTCGAAAAAAATTTTTATTTAAATGCTTAATCAGGGTTGCCATGGGTCAGAGAAATAATGGAAAAGTCAAGGGAAAATGAGATTGGTCTGGGAATTTTATCAAAAGTACTGGAAAAATATCAAATTTCTAAAAATGCTACTAAAATTCTAATTTTTGAAATTTTCAATTCAAACTTTTGCTTCTAAAAATTATTGTCTTAAATTTTTATAATTGGAGGCCTCGGATCGACTTTTAAAGGTAAAAAAGTCATTTTACTCAATTTACATTATAACAAAAGGCTAAAAAGTTCAGTTTTTAAAATAAATTTAATTTTATTATTATTATTAACAATTTTTTATTTCAAATTAAATCAATTTATTAATTCCTTAATAAGAATGTTTCACATAAATATTTTCAACAAGTTTTCTTTTGAAACCATTCAGTTTCAGAACAAATTTTCAAAAATAATTTAAAGTTACATTACAAAAAAGAACATTTTTCAAGTCTGATTTAATCACATTATTTGAATTCAAAATTTCAGAAAATGTTTTAAATAATTATATTTTTGAAGAATTTTATTAAAATACTAGTAAAATTAAACGCGCGCCAAATTGAGTATTTAATTGTTTGTTACAAAGAAATTAAAGATTAATATTATCAATAATAATTTAATTTATCAGAATATTATTACATATTAAATGATAATAATGAAAATTATATGTTTACAAGCCTCGGATTATACGACTTTTTTTCAAAAATACGACTTTTAACGACTTATTTTAATAAAATGCGACATTTTTTTTACATTTGAAAAAAAATATAAATAAAATACCTTTTTTTAGTATAAAATGTAGATCTTCTTCACATCTTCTTCAATTCAATTATTTAACAAATTTTGAACTAAAATGATTCTTCAATAAATTAATTATTTTTAATAATTTTAATGAAATACATCACAAATTCAAATATATCAAAATTATTTTTCAATTAAAATTTTTATGAAATTTAACAATTGTTTATAATTTAAAAAAAAATATCACAATAAAATTGAATTATTTTTTAAAAATTTCAATTCAAAATAATCTAAAATTCAATTATTACCCGAAATTTTAATTCAAAATCAATTAAAAATCCAATAATTATCCACAATTTTCAATTTAAAATTTAATTATTTACCAAGTTTTCAATTTAAAATGAAATAAAATTCAATTATTTTCTAAAATTTCTATTCAAAATTAATTATCCAAATTTTCTATCAAAAATGAACTTAATTTAAATTATTATCCAAAATTTCAATTAAAATTCAATTATTTCCCAAAATTTTCAATTCAAAATGAACTAAAATTAAATTATTTTCCAAATTTAAAATCAAATAAAATTTCATTATTCTCAAAAATTTGAATTCAAAATTAATTGAATTTTCAATAATTTGAATTTAAAAGCATCTATCTAAAATTCAATTATTTCTAAAATTTTCCATCGAAAATTTTTTTTTTTGAAATTTTTCAATTAAAAATGATTTTCAAATTATTGTATTTTGTCCGCATTATCTAATAAATTTTTAGTGAAATCATCTAAAATTTTAATTAGAAAACACTTAAAGTTTCAATTAATTTCAAAAATCTCAATTTTAAATTTTTGAAAATTCAATTAAATTTAAAAAATGTTTTCCAAAAATTGTTTAATAAATTATTTTTAGTTCTGTAAAATTTAATAATTGTTTGAAAATTAACAATATCTTTTGAAATTGAATTATTTCTAAAAATTTCAACTTTAACCCTTCGAAAAGGATTATTATTAAAGAAAAAAATTTTTCATTTAAAAATCTGTAAAATATTTTTGTTAAAATAAAAAACAAATCCACTTTTTTTGGAATATAAATCGACTAAAACGACTTTTTGTGTCTTCAAGTTGATTGGAGGCCTGTGTTTTTATAATTAATATTTAATAGGTATTCGTTGGCCCCTGGTACCTTAAAAATTAATTTTTAAAAATTAATTTTTTTCAAATTACTATCTTGTACGAAATTTCCTGGCGCATCTTTTTTCTCATCATAAATTTTTTGTATTTGTATACAATTTTTGAATCAATATACAAGTTTAAAAAAAATTTCGTTGGTAAACGTTGTGTACCTCAGCTTCGTGAATTGAATTTTCGAATTTGGAATTTTAAAGAAACTTATTCCGAAATTTGGAAACACAATTATACAACTTTGGCAAAAATGAGAAAAATAATTGTCAAAATTTAACACGTCATAATATTACTATTCAAAAAAACACGTGAAATCAAAAAAAGGACAACTTCAAGTTAGGACAGAAGGACAGACCAAGCATTTTATTATTATATATTTATTGAAAAAAAATTAATTTTAAATGAAAATTGGTAAAATAATACAATTGCAGAAAATTTTTAATTAAAATTTTAAAAAATAATTGAATTTGGAAGAGTTTGATTTAAAATTTTCAGAAATAATTGAATTTCAGCAGATTTTAAATTGAAACTTTTATAAAATAATTAATGAAATTTTTCACAAATTTCAGATAATAATTGAATTTTAGAGAATTTTTGAATTGAAATATGTTCTAAATAATTGAATTTTGAGGGAGTTACAGATATATTTTTTAGAAATAATTACATTTTTGAGATTTCAAAAATTATAAGTTTGTCGTAAATATTTAAATAATTGAATTTTTGAAAAATTGAATTAAAACGGTTGAAATGATTAATTAAACAAAGAATTATATAGAGAAAAATTTGGGAAAAAAATTTCAATTGAATAAATATTCAATTAATTATTCAAGTACTAATAGAATTTAGAAAAGTTCGAGTTAAAAATTTTTTTAATAAAGGACAATTTTTATTTCTTTTTTCACCTCTTAAAATGAAACTTTTAATACACAAATAAAACAAAATGTCGTTTTTTCTTGTTTTCGAGATATTAATTAATGTTAATAAAAAATGAAATATTTTTCAAACAAATAAAGTTACCGTAATTCTGAACTTACCAATTTATTTGTTTGTAAAATATTTCATTTTCTCAAGTAGCACGGAATATTACTTCAATGTCAAAATTATATCAAATGCACTGAAAAAAAAATTTATTTGATTCAAATACTTCAAATTATTTGAAAAATATTTAATTGGTTCAAATACTTTTTATTTGGATCAAAAAAATGTGTATTTGATTCAAATAACTTAAATTATTTGAATCGCATTTATTTGAACCAAATAAATCGTATTTGGTTCAATTAAATAATTAATTGAATTAAATAAATGAATTTATTTAATACAAATAATGAGTTACTTGAAACTATTCATTCATTTATTTCACTCAAATATTTCGTTTATTTGATACAAATAAAAAGTATTTGACACAATAAATTTATGTAATTAATTTCAAATAAACTGAATTATTTAATACAAATAATTCGTTATTTAATACTAATACACTATTTCATCAAGACAAATAAAAAAATATTTTAATTCTTGTGACATTCAGGAGATATCATAATGTCCGCTTCATGGAAACATACCACGGTGATATTCCTGTGACATTCGCGTACTATTCGTATGATACTGAGGGAATATTCCCGTGAAATTCATGTAATATATTGAGGGGATATCCCTGTGACATTGAGAGGAATATTTCTGTAATTTATAAAATTCTAAAATGTTTTTTTTATTGTTTTTAATAATTAAATAAAAAAATAAATAAATAGGAAAAAAAATAGAAAATTTTTTTTTAGAATTTTCTAAATTATCTCATCAATATTACTGGAATATTCCCTCAATATCGAGGAGTATTACCTCAATATCACAGGAATATTCCACTCAATATCACAGGGATATCCCCTCAATATCACACAAATTTCACGAGAATATTCCCTCAGTGTCAAACGAATGTCACAGGAATACCACCGTGTAATGTCCCCATGAAGCGGACATTATGATATCACCTGAATGTCACAAGAATATTCCCACTTGATATCATCGTGACATTAAAACAATATTCCGTGCTACTTGGGTTCTATTACACTTTAAAAAAATTAACGTACATCAAGTTAGACAAACAACTTTCGTAAAATCAAAAATGCAATATTGGATAATTTGCCGCTAATTATTCGTGAAATTCCCAATTTTGCCGTTTTTGATTTTTTAAAAAAAACAGGGTGAACTGCTAACTTGATATCAAGTTAGCAGTGCAACCACTGTAAATAAAAGGATAAAAAAAATCTGAACACACATGATTTTGCCGTAAATTTGCCGTAATCAAATCCCACAATTAGTTTCTCAAAATATTTAAAAATGACACTAAACTTCACAATATTCTATCGGAATTTTCTACAATTTATATTCTTTCATCCTCACAATCATTTTAAAATAATTAGTAAGTCAAAAACGACTTATTTAAATGAAACTGAAGTACGCAATGTTTATATAAACGATTTTTAAAGAAATAATTTTTTAAAATGCAAAATTCTATAATTTTTTGCATAAAAAAAATATTTTTTTATAATTTGTTGCTTAAGGGTATGTGGGAACCTCTCACGTGACCTAGTATGGGAACATGTGTTTTGGTAGTATACGTATCACTCTAAAATGAAAAAAGATTTTTGTCTAACATTTTCAGTAATATTAAATGAGTAGAACTGCGAGATTCCTTGTACCGAACAAAATAATTTCTAAAAAATTTTAACCCGAAATTATTTTTTATTTCAGAGAAAGTATCAAACCACAAAAAAATGTCCTTTGCCCACATTCCCTT